AGAAACGGCCAAAGCTGATGGCAATAATTTTCTTTAGCTTTCTTTGCCCTGGGCACTCCTGCCCGTCTCCCCGTCAGTGGCTGGCATGTTCTCACAGTGGCTGGCATGTTCTCACGTGTTGCTTTGACCACTGTTGTACAGACAAGAGAGCAGCCAGCTAAGATTTCAATGGAGGTCTTACTCCTTCCTCGGGAAGTCAGATTTCCCCTATTCTAATAGTAAATCCAAAATACTTTAACTGGTTTTTTGTTTTTGTTGAAGTAGATGGTTCTACTATGGAGCCAAAATCTATGGATGTCATCTATCCAATTTCTATTTTCCAAGTGGTTATCAAGGACCTATACATTGTGATTAGTGACTCCTCACAGCAAAGACCTCTCCCCCTCCTCCCTTTCCCAAGAAACCAGAATGTAACCACCCATGCCCTCCTCTCTCAGCAGACACCACAGAAACCTCCATAATACTACGTGTATCCACCTGGTCACTCCAAAAGTTGTACAGCTACACTGATCCACTGCCGTGGGGCAGAAGTAGAATACGGGGGCTTACTATAGTTATAAGAAACATTAACCATGCTCTGTTAACCTCGATTGTAGTTCTAAATTAAAGCAAGCACCTTCTAACCTGGCTGTGGAGTGGTACCTATCTATAATCCACCTTGGAATGCAGTGCATTCTCATTCAAGAACTACCTATCAGGACTCTTTCCCCCTCCCCCTGTGGGAGTCGTGCTTGTTTCTCAATAAATCTCTTCCTTTTACTACAAAAACAAAATGAGAAGCTACTTATTATCATGGAAAGATTAATAACCTTGTTGCCCAAACAATGGAGTCCCAACCCAGGCCAGTAATACCCATTTCTCTTATCCATTCTTTTTCCTTTTGCCTACTTCCCCTCGCCTGTCAGACCCATTTTTACCTTTGTATACTCATTCTTATTCCCTTCGCCTACTTCCCCATGTAATTTTTGTTCTGGTAACCCTATAAGCAGATGGCTGATGGGGGGAAGGGACAGAGCAAATGTTTACGAATGACCTAGTCCTCTCCCATACTGCCGGCATCGTTGGAATAAACGCTCATCCGTGACTCAGCCCTGCCTCTGCTTCACTGGCTCAGGTGGTGACCAGCAGCCCAGAGCCACTGGCTGTCTGGTTCCACTCCCACAAATACACCGATGCCTTCCTTTCCTAAAAGCCTGCTTTTCTTCCGGTAACTATTCTCCCTCCAGGGTCTTTTGAATTATATGAGGCCCAAACTCGGAGGATCTTAACCCTTTCTCAGAATCCTCTCCCAGTCTCCTCAAACTTTCCAGGAACCAGTGCCTTCGGAAAAGAGGGGTGGGCGCTAACAGCACTGCTCACATTCCCGTCCCCTTCTCCAGGCACCTGGAGGTCCCCTCTCCTTCCTTTCACCCACTGGAAGCAAAGGTGTTTTCCCCAAACCCAGCCACTTTTTAGTCAATTACTACTCTTTTTTGTCAACTGCTGCCACAATTAGTCATGAGACACCAGGTAAGAGTTTGCCATTTGAGTGTACTGTGTCCAACAGTACTGTATCCAAACTCTTACCATGGAACGTTACAGGAAAACTACCTTAGTTCTCCCACGGGGAAGGCAATTCGTTTCTGTGGAAGCTTGATAATTACAGGCGTTCCCATTTCTTCCCTCTCCCAAGCAGCTTGTTCACAATTGAGGAACACAGTAAATAAAGCTGTCTCCTCCAGTGAGCTGGTATTTGCTTTTAAAATTGTTCTGAGGAAGAAGTAACACATCCCAGTGGTGGAGAAGAGCAAGTCCGTTACCTGAGGAGGGGCCCCTGGGGGACAGCCCAGAGGCCTCCTGCCTGCACTTCCGCACTTCCACCCGACAGTCACTGTGGCTTCTGCCTGGCGGCTGCCGTCCTTTTAGGAGAAAAGGTGCGAAACAATGTCCCCTGGAAATTCTAACAGCCTAGCAGTGGAGGACTGCAAAGGGACTGCGCTCATCTTCCCGGTGACCTCTGATTGCCAAGGGGCATACGCCAGGGAGGAGCTGATCATGGAATGGGGACAAGTGTGGGGACTTACTACCCCCAGGACTTTCTGAAGAGAATCGCTGTTAGCTCTTGGAAGGCTTCTCTTGCCACATGTCTACGCTTTGGGGAATGCACACATAACTGGAGTTTTATTATGGCTGTTATTTTGTTAAGTGATATGGAACCTGGGGCCCGGCAATAACTATTCTGTTTAATAGACCCACAGGAGGCGTCATGAATCTGCGTGCATTTGTGGTAGGCAGGCAGGCAGGCAAGGGCAGAGCCAGGACTAGTGACAGAAGGTCACCAGGGACAAAGGATGCCTAGCAATGAATAAGAATGGGTGGAGTAGGCGTTGGAGAGAGTTGGAGATAGTCAAGACTTTGCCTTTAATATTTCTCTCCATCTCAGAATGGCAGGATCGGGAATAAGTATTGTTATTCATGTTCTCACCCTAAGACCTCTCCACCCTAATGCCTCAGGCCATGCAGAGCACTCCACATCTTTTCTCCCCAGCATTTGGTTGACCCAGGGGCTAGGGGAAAGTAACTTCCTCCCCAGCACAGAAGAGACAGAACGGCCCAGGGAAGTCAGCTTGCAGAAGAAAGCAGTTAACTCAGCTGAGGGTTTAAAAGGAGCCCTCGTCCACTCTGCAGGGCAGCTCTGGCTGCAATTTCCATTTGAGTGTCCTAGTTTGCCTGATAAATCTTATCTTCTCAGGGTCTGAGTCTTGGCTCCGAATATTGTTCTTGGCCAGACCTCTGAGGTTGCTGAACCCAGGTTTGGTCTGACCCCACTGGTCCGAGACCTGGCACAACAGTTTTAAGAGCACCTAATGTGACTCTGAGGCTCTTGAGAAATATGTTGCAAGGCGCCTCTTCTCTCACCCTGCATCCATGCCTCCCCCCACCCCCTGCTCCTGGCTCTTCCCCAAACAAAATGTTTCAATCTTTCAATACTAACCATGCTTCAAGGCCCATCTCAACCGCACCCTCCCCCTTTTTTCAGGGGAAAGCACAAGCGCAGTCCCCCAGGTACTACACATGGGGACCTCACACAGGTCAGCACACCCAGCGCGCTATGAGCAGCCTCAGCCTGGAAAAGCCATCTTCACCATCAGGCAGCACGCTTCCAGAGCCCCTACAGATGGCCTGTGCCGAGAGGGACTTCCTCATCTCCCACACCCTCGTGCTGTTTATCTTAAAGGGAAAGGTGTTCAATCTCATTAGTTATTTCTTTTTGCAAATCTCACCTGTCTTACAGGGCAGTGAAACCTTAAAAGGCAGACTAAGACTCACGTTGTTTTACTTCCCGAAATAAAGCAACCAAAGTGCCCGAGACATTCTAAACTTTTGGAAATGATTGAATGATAGAGCAACCAGTTATCCTGACAAGTAGATGACAGTAAAAGGACACGAAACAGGAAGACTGCCTAGATTACCGGTATGTAGCAACTGTCTACAGTAGCTTGAGGGCCATAACGATTTCTTTCTATGTGAAACGAGGGTGTTTCAAGAGGACTTTTAAAAAAAAGCTCATAAAACACATTCCCAGTGTTCGGTGTGACCTGACCATGTTTTCCCTCAGCTAACAGCACAGCTATGTACATCCGTGTTACACAGCTATCTGTTTCCAAGGAGGACCCACTGACTAACTCTCCCCTGAGGGGCTTAATGGTATGAGCACAGACAGGAGACTCCAACTGGTCCTTTTTCTTCCCCCCCCCCCCAACCTAGTAACGCTCCTCCTGAAAACTCCCAGCAAGTAAAACACTAACGTATATGGTCTACTTATTCCACCAGTTATTTCAGTGTGCCTAATTCTTACAGACCTGGGAAAGTTCACCCTTTCTAAAGAACTACCTACCTTAGAGTCTCAGCTACCAGTGTAACATCTTGATTTCATAAGGATGCCTCAGCCGGTTAGTGCAGAATTATACCGCTTCCCATTATTCTACATGGCAGCGTACTACTCATGGTTAGCTTTGTAATAAATTTGTGTCTCCTTTAGTCATTTTAGTTCGAGAAGGGCTTAAATAAATAAATACATAAATATAAATAAAAGCCTCAGCATAACATTTGCCAATAATCTGAATAGAGTTTCAAGTCTTGGCTTTCAATCACATTCTGGATTATCACTTTCATTAATTAAAGAAAGTCACATTGGACATATTCTTCCAGTTTGTCCTTAAATGATTCCAAAACTTGTGGAGTGAAATGTGTGTGTTTATAATGTAAGGGTGGGTCTCAAACAGCAACACCCTAACTTGGGCACAAACCCAAATACACTTTTCAGTGTGAAATGCCAGTCTGAAAGAGAAACTTACTCATTTTACAAGTAGGATTAAATTGTTTGTATTTTGTGGCCACAAACATGTGTCCTCAGGAAGAAACCGAGGTGGAAAAAAAAAAAAAGGAGGAAAAGTCTTATGTGGTGTTTTAAAATTGGCTCACGGAGAAGACATCACCTTTACAAGATCTTAACCCAGATACATAGAACATAGAGGACGTATTAGGAACGGAAGGCTCAAAAAAAAAAAAAATGTAAAGCGAGTCATTGTGTGTGTGTGTGTGTGTGTGTGTGTGTGTATATATATATATATATATATATATATATATATATCAACAAACAGAACATCGAGACCCTGCAAGCCACAGGGTCAAATAAGTGTCACTTTCAGTTATTACTTTTTTACGTAAATTTCCATAATTCGCGGAATATGAAGGAAAACCAACACGAATCATTTTCGGCTCAGCAAGGGGGGAATATAAGGGAGGTCCAGGCGAGAAGTCCCAGGGATCAAACACAGTGAATGAATCCCAACACAGCGTTCCGGATGCGAACCCCCGGCAGGGAAGGGCCGGGGAAGAGGGGAGAGAGCGGGAGGGAACGCCCGCCCGCCGCCCGCCGCCCGCCCCGCCGCCGGCTCCCATTCACCGCCGCCCGCCCTCCGCGCCCATTCATTCCGCGGCGCACAGCGTCCACTCACCTGTCCGCGCGCACAGCGTCGCCGCGCCCGAGGCCGCCGCCGGGAGCCGCGGGGGCGCGGGCCGGGGGGCGGCCGCCCAGGGGGACCGCTGGCCGCGCGGGCCGGGGCCGGGGCCGGGGCCGGGGCCGGGCCGGCGGCGCAGGCCGGCGGCGTCCCGGTGCAGCAGGGCGGAGCAGAGCCGCCGCCGGCTCTGATACATGCCGGGCGCCGCTGCCACCACCACCGCGGCCCCTCGCACGCCCGAGGAGCGGAGCACGGCCGAGACGGCGGGTGAGCAGGCTCTCGGGTCGTCCCCGGGAAGGGACGCTCCGAGCCGGGGGAGTCCGGAGCGGCGAAGAGCCCGAGGCAGAGGCGGGAGCGCGGCTTCTGCTGTGGCGGCGGCGGCACTGCCGACGGAGCACTGAGACCTGGAGGTTAGTAACCGGCGAGCCGGCACGCTGACAAAGCGGGCGCTACCAAGGAGGACAGAGGGGGTGTTGCGTGGGGCGGACCCAGGCGCGACCGGGCCATAGTCCAAGAATCGGGATAATTTTATTTGTAAAGGAAACATATGAACATCTAATGGTGGAGAGGAGGATGTCTGAGGCCTAAGAAGGTCTGAAGCATCCGATGGAGCGGTTTTAAAGAAATGAGCCCTCCCCTCCAGATGGCTGGAATGGAAGCGCCCACAGGCTGGGAGTCCCCAAGGCAGTTCCAGGGCTGGGCTCTTGGACACGTGTGTGTCGAGTGGAAGACCGCATCCGTGTGTGCGTGTGAATGTGAATACAGCAAAGGGCGTACGCTTCCTGCTCGTTTGTCTGAATTCAATGATGTTGAGCACAATAAATGACATTGAGCACATATATTACATTCAATGATATTGAGCATTCAATGATTTTGAGCACAATAAAGCACCTTCTGTTGCGTGGGCGATGAATACGATAAGTGTCCCTTTCCCCAAGGTTGCTTTGCAAGGCGGAGGGCAGAAGATCGTGAGAAATCAGACCGTAATGCTTTACAAGGTAGATTAAGATCGATCGGTACCACACGTTGTCATAAATTTGGCGATAGGGGTTATAACGGGCCTGGAGTTCCCAGGAGGTTTATGATGAGGACAGTTGACATTGGGCCATTAATGTGTAAGTCTAGAATGTACACGTGTGGAAGTTTGGGGGAGAGGGGAAGAGTGAGGGTGATTGATAGGTGAAGAAAGGAGGTAAGCACAAAGCCCTGGAAGTATTTGGGGGGGAAAACAACTCTCCCTTTTAGTCATGCAGGATGGAAGCTAAGGAGTAAGAGAATGGATGCTTGGGCAAGATACATTGTGGAAGGGCAGAGATTATAATAGACTCGATTTGGTAGGAAAGAGTGGTGAGCTGCTGTGCTTTGTGAGTTGGGCAAGGATGTGAGTAAGGCCCTGCTTTAATGGAGGTCAGTGTCTCAGGCACATGTAAAGAAAGGGTAGACCAGCTGAGATGAAAGGTAGTCTAGACTTGCTTCTTCTTGTACTAGAGGAGAATGGACGGAAGGAACACCTCAGTTCCCGCAGGAAATGATGACTAACCAGGAATGGAAGTGGGGCGAGGGAGAGGGTGCCCAAGACTGGACACCTCTCTGAATTACTTATGAGCTACAAACACTCTCTTGTTGGTTATTCCATAATTTTGCTAATTCTCCTATTTATTTTCAGTCCTGGGTTATTTGGAAAGTTGACCTCACAGTGTGACCTGATCATAAATTCCTACCTGGGCAGGTCATTGTGGGTAGTCACACCCCAGGCACATAACTTTAAGTCAGAAGGATACCTTTGCTTTAAGCAAGCCCTGCTCATTCCCCCCCCACCCTGTGCATCTAGGTTAACACACCTTTGCAATAAATTGTAACCACCCTTAAGAGAGCACATAATCTTATTAACTATCCTGTAATTCTATCCCTGCTTTGCTTTTCCCTACCTCCATAATTTCAAATGCACAAAAGAAACTTGTTCATCTCGGGAGTATTTGCAATCTTCCTCCCCAGCTTATGTCATCTGTTTGGTTCAAATAAACTCATAAAATTCTCTGCAGGTTCAGACCTTCTTACGTCAACATATTTAGTGCCCAGAAGGTGTGGATTAGTCAGCAGGCACAAGATTACAGCTCCTGAAAGGCAAGCTCTTTGGCAAGTCAATAAACCTTCTTAATCTCAGTGTCCTTAGTTATAAAACCTGTAGAATCAGACCTTAGTCATTAGAAATAAACGGCAATAATAAAATAGGCCATAAAAGTGTTTTGCATACCTCACGCTGTATTGGGATTCACAATGTAAATTGAAAGCAAGATCCTCTAAAAGCAAAAACATTAGGACTTGCTTTATTGCAGTAGCCTGAAACAAACGGCAATATCTCTTAGGAATGCCTGAATAACAAAAGGTTTAGTTAGAATCTAAGTGATGGGTTATATATTTGGAAATAATCATAACAAAGTGTTGAGGGGAAAGTGCTGGAGAAATTAAAGTACCGTTCAAATATAAACTGTCATTATTAAAAGGGATTCAGAGAGCATGCTGTCCTGGAAGTAGTATTGTGTTTTATTTTATATTAGAGGCCCATTGCAGGAATTTGTGCACTGGTGGCATCCAGCCAGCCCTGCCCTAATCAGGGTGGATCAGGGCTGGGCCTGTTGGGAGGAGGAGATGGTGGGAGGTTGTCCTGCTGGCCTGCCCCAATTAGGGACAGTCAGGGCCAGACCGGCTGGGGAAGAGGCCCTTAGGTTGGCTGGCTGGCCGGCCTGCCCCTCCCCCTGATTGTGCTGGTTTGCTGGCCACAGTGGATGTCACAGCGACCAGTTATTATGGTTCTTATGGCCATAATGTTGCTGGCTTTTTATATATATAGATTAAAGCAATCAGAAAAATATGAGTTAAAACTGCATCACCAAAAATTTATTCAGTGGCTATTTGTTTAGTACATGTTATGTCTCAGGCTCTACATAAGGACATACAAAAATGAATTGAATGAAGTCCTTTCACAGTTTAATGGGTGAGGCACAAATTCTTATAGTCTATATATATTCTCAGTGTCCCTCCAACCATTCAACTAGTTGCTATGATGCACACTGACCACCAGGGGGAAGACATGCAATGCAGGAGTTGCAGTGTGCACACTGGCCATTTACAAAGAAACGGCACCGTGGGCCTGGCACCGACAAAGCAACACTCAGTTTCCCCCAAGTGGGACACAGGCCCTGCCACCACCCTGGAGTCACATCCCACCAAATCCATCACAGCCAATGCTGCTGAGACCCCATGGTGCAAAATGTGGCCCACAGCCCAGCCCACCCCAGAAATGGTTGCTGTGGGCGTCAGGTAATGACATCACATAGCAACGCCTGGTTTCTTCTCCCAGCTACTAGCCTCCTTGCAGTTTCTTCAGTCCAGGAACATGGCTTGCTTTATAGCCAGGTGCAAACATTTTACACTTTAACCAAATGTCTGTGAAGCGTTTTCCCTCGCCTCATCTGATTTGATCCTCATAGAAGTCCTGGAGTAGGTAGGAAGGAGACTCAGTAGAATACTATTTTCTTTTCATTAGCCAGAAAATGGAGATTTAGAAAGTTTAGAAACTTGACCTGACCTAGAAGAAGTAAGAAATGGTGGACCTTGAAAATGACTTCAGATTTTCTCACTGCACAGAATATAGTCAAACACTGCTGCAGTTAAATATTTTACCCTTTAATCCTGAGTTGATTAACGTCTAGCTTCAGTTCTTGGAAGTGAAGCTGTATAACTCGTGATCTACAATAATAACCTACTTTGCATTGGTATTTACTGCTGTGGTATTTACAATTACCTGAAAGCGAAGTTGGGGTGCTTCACTGGACTGGAAAAAGTTCAATTAGACTGAAAGCAGGTCTAATTAAGCAAGTTTATTCTCCCTATATAAAAGGTTACGTTGACTCGAGCATGAGAGATATAAATAAAGCTCTTGCTGGCGCCACTCACACTCATTTGTTTTGATCTGTCATTGTCGATCGTGAATTTGGTTAACATTTCTATTATAGAGAAAGGGCAAATAGTGATATTGAAATATTTCTTCTAATTAATTTCCTTTCAATGTGTATGAAACTGTGCACTAGGCCACTAGTATCTGATAAATATAGAATCATGATACAAGGAAACGGACCAGGAAACGCCTACGTACTTACCAGGAGAAGCTTTTTGAACAGGGTGACTTCCAAACAGAAAGGTAGGAGGCAGAGAGAACAGCAAGGCAGAGACAGGAGGGATGTTCTAGGAACAGTGAGTGCCACCACACCTGATAAGGTTTGAGTGCAGGGTGCCCAGAAGGGATGGGGTAGATGAGTTAGAAGCTGTGGGCAAGAAGGAACACATGAATGGTTTTCAGATGAGTTTGGACTTGATTCTGAGGGTTCTGGGGAACCTTTGAAAGACTAAGTGGAGCACGGCTGGTGTGGCTCAGTGGTTGAGCATCGAACTATGAACCAGGAGGTCTCGGTTTGATTCCTGGTCAGGGCACATGCCTGGGTTGTGGGCTAGATCCTTAGTAGGGGGCATGCAGGAGGCAGCGGGTCCATTATTCTCTCTCATCATTGATGCTTCTATCTTTCTCTCCCTCTTCTTTCCTCTATGAAATCAATAAACATATATTTAAAAAAAGAAAAAAAAAAGAAAAAGAAAAGAAAAGATGCCGAAACGTTTGGCTCAGTAGATAGAGCATTGGCTTGTGGACTGAAAGGTCCCAGGTTAGATTCTGGTCAAGGGCATGTACCTTGATTGCGGGCACATCCCCAGTAGGGGGGGTGCAAGAGGCAGCTGATTGATGATTTTCTCTCATTGATGTTTCTAACTCTCTATCCCTCTCTTTCTCTTTAAAAAAATCAATAAAATATATTTAAAAATATATATCTATAAAAATAAAAATAAATAAAAGAAACCACCCAGGGGATTCCAATGAACACTCTTGTCCCTCAGCATTGCCTCTCAAACAAATGAATTGGGGTCGGGGAAAGCGGACATGAGATGGGCTTAAGAACTATGAGGAGCCGGGACCGGTTTGGTTCAGTGGATAGAGCGTCGGCCTGCGGATTGAAAGGTCCAGGGTTCAATTCCAGTTGAGAGCATGTACTTTGGTTGCAGGCACATCCCCAGTAGAGGGTGTGCAAGAGGCAGCTGATTGATGATTCTCTCTCATCGATGTTTCTAACTCTCTATCCCTCTCTCTTCCTCTCTGTGAAAAATCAATAAAATATATTTTAAAAAAATAGAGATTATCCACATGGATATAAAAAAAAATAAAAAAATAAAAAAGAACTATGAGGAGACAGAAACCACAGGCTTGAGAAACAGATAAAGTCCAAAGGAGTGAGGATAGGGCCGTAGTGAGGCTTGGTGACTGGTGGAAAATAGTACCAAACAAGG